AGGTAGACAGGATAATTGTGTTCAGTGATCAGCATGCTTGACTCAGGGGAAGCCAAGTTAAGAAGTTTGCTTGGTAAGCAGAGTCTGAGCCAGGGAAGTTACTTGTATGGTTTTGTGGCTACCGTAAATAAACCGCTATCTAGTCTGGTGCATTACTTGCTTTTATAAGGATAGACTTGTTTGTGCATCGTGTGCTCTCTCCCTGAACATGCCAACTAGATAATACTGCATACATCTGATTCCTTGGGTCTCCTTTCCTTTTTTTGGACCAGTTCTTAATTCCTGTTATCTTCCTTTAGAATTATCAAATCTTTTAATCCTTTTATTGCCTAATCTTTCTTTAAAGTGAATTTTGTAAACCTCTGCTTTGATCTGTTCTTTTACGTCTTGTCAAAGAACACTCCTTATTTCCAAGTTCTTGATAGGGTAAGCAGTGCCTATCTTTTCATATGCAAGTTGCATTTAAATTTTTGGTGATTGAATTTAGGTGTGGCTTACACGAAGGTTTGGCAACTCCTTGAGTTTATGCCAGTGGGTTGGTGAAACAATGTTTTAGCTAGTGTTGTGGATGATGTTACCTCCAGAGGGGTTGCTGTTGAATTTGAAACAACAATCATGTACTCATTGTCATTTTGTTTTACAGTTCAGTAGATTATAGCTTCTTTTAAGATGATCAGGTTTGAACAGTTAATGTTTTTATTTTAGTTGACTTTTGAATATGTGGTTGCTACTACTCAGTAAGCTTAACGGGTCTAAGTTGACGTAATTTTACAGAATTTAAAGAGCCAGTCATTTTTTAATAAGAAGGGCTGTAAGACAGAGAGGACAACATGAAATGGAACAGGAGTAATTTTTCCAAATTTGAAAGATACTAGAAATGGAAAAAGAAGTACTTCTTGAAAACAAACCCTTAGAGAAGTGTTATATAAGAAACCCCTCCCCCCATAGTCACACCTGTATTAGTTACCTATTGCTATGTAACGGATCACCTCAAAATTTAGTGACTTAAAATAGCACAGTTGGCTAGGCCTCAAAATTTCTTTCTATAGGCCAGGAGCCTAGTCATGGTTTCGTAAGATCCTTTATTTCAGGGTTCCCACATGCTGCAATCAAGATTTGAACCGGGGCTGCAGTCTTCTCAAAGTTCAATTGGGGAAGGGTCTGCTTCAGATTAACTCGTGGTTGATTACAAGATTAAGGTTCTCACAAATTGTGGGCTGAGGACCTCAATTCCTAACAAATTGGTTCCTTGTCATGTGAATCTCTCCACAGGGCATCCCACAACAGACAGACTGACTAGCTTCATCAAAGTGAGCAAGCAAGAGGGCAAGAGAGCTGAGAATAGTAGGAGGGTAGGAGAAAGGAACAGAAGCAAGACTGAAGTTTTTTGTAACATAATCTTGAGAGCGACACCCCATCCCTTTTTTCTTGTGTTACTCCCTAGGAGCACGTCATCAGGTCTAGTCAACCATCCAGGGTAGGATTACAAAAGGGCATGAGTATGAGGAGGCAGAGGTCGTTAGGAGCCATTTCAGATGCTGCTTCTTCCCTCACAGCTGAGGAGTAGAGATGGGTGTGTTTTGGAGGAAAGAGAAATGTTAAGTTCTTTTTCTGTTGCTGTTGTTCATGTCTTTTATTAACCCATATAAAATTATTTGTCTTCTGGCTTGTAGAAACAATAAGTAATACAACATCTGCCACTGAAACGTCTGTCAGAGTGGCTGGCCATAAAAGCTCCAGCACCACATTCATCTGAAGGGCACTCCCGGCAAAGGCAACTGATTTTGCCATTCTCTTCTACCTTAGGATATTTTAGAACAGCCAGCCTAACCTTCTTCCTCTTAGGTTTGTTCTTCTTGGGAGTGGAGTAAGACTTCTTTCTCTTACTACCGCCTCAGAGTCTCAATGCAAGATGAAGAGTGAACTCCTTTTGAATGTTGTAGTCGGACAAAGTATGTCCATTTTCCAGCTGCTTGCCGGCCAAGATCAGTCTTTGCTGATCAGGAGGAATTCCTTTCTTATTCTGGATCTTGGCCTTTACATTTCTGTTGTATCTGAGGGTTCAGCCTAAAGAATGTGGACCTTCCCTGTAAGGGTTTTCATGAAAATATACATCTTGGTGGCGGTGCCACTGCTGCCACTGTGGATGGTGGATCAATAAAAGAGAAAGATTCAGAGACTCTGAAAAGGTCTGCTAAGAGCTTTTTTTTTTTTTTTGGCTCTTGTACCTTCTTGATTCAGTATTTTATTTTTATTCCCATTTGCAGAGCACTCTTGCAACCCTAGGTTCCACCTTGTTTTCCTCCCAGAATTGGCATGCTGCCATCTTCTCCCACCCCCTTTTTATCTCTTACAAATTTGCCTTTTCAATCCTTGCTGTTTTCACTGATAATAATTAGTTGGTCGTCTTGCTGCTTACTTTGCCAAAGCATGTCGAGTCCTAGTGCTTTCTGGGCTGTTCCTAGCATCTGTTTCGAATTCATATTTATACTGATCGTTTATAGTGGGAGATAGGGTTGCTTCTTGGTACCTGATTAGGGTCTTGAGTTTTTTGTGTCTACTACTTTGAGACTTGATGCATCTATTACTACATTGAAGTAGGATCTTCACTTTTGAGTGCTTCTCTCCATGTTGGTTGTATTGCTTTCTTTCAAGAGAATTTGGCCTGTAAACAGCTTTGCTTGTCTGTTTTCCTGCTTTTGCTGGCTTTGCCTGTTAATGACAACCTGGCAGGCTACAGTGAGAGATGACAGGATCCCAGAAATCACTTTTGAAGCCTTGAGATCAAGGGCTGCTGCTTTTAGTAAGCAATTTGACAAATTATGGGTACACTATATTTGCATATGGAAGATGGTACTTAATACAGAAGCTTTCCCCTGAGTTTTGAAAAAAATTTCCAAATTTGTGTGGAGAGGGATGAGCACTGAATATTTTTGATCACTTTTCCTCTCTTTCTACTGCTACATGGAAAATAAAATTAACTAACATGTGAGGTGTCCCTTGCACTGACAGTCTTTCTTCTATATACAAAAGAGAAGTTGAAATGGACTTGTTGGCAGTCCCTACAAAATACAGAAGAAAAATGACAATTTTAGTTGGAAAGGGTACAACCAGTAGTGAAATAAATTTTACTTGTAATCTTGTGAGAGTGCATTTTTGAGACCATAAGGAAAAAAAGTTTAAAAACAAGTATTCTTGAATTGTGCTGGAGCAGTTCACATTAATTTTCAGTGTCCCTTCTCTGATTTACAGCTATTTGCCTTGGTGTGATGCCTTTGAATACATTTATTGAGAATGTGCTATATGGTGGGCATTGTGCTACACACTCATCAGAAATATCTCTGATAAGCACAAGAACTTGAAAATAATTCCTTCATCAGTACAAAGAGATTGAGGCCCAGGGCAGTTTGACAATTTGTCCTAGGGCAAATCAAAGCTGTCTAGTCCAAGGCTTCCTGACTCCATTGCTTATCTGTGGTCTGCGCTCTCCCTCCGTCTGTTCTCTCCCATCTCTCAAGTTAACAGACCAGCTATATGTCTTTGTTTTCCTCAGAGAATGAACCCAAGAGGCACACAAGGAAATGACTGCTTTAAACTACTCACCTTAAAATAAACCTTAAGATTTCGTGTAGCTGAATATCAGGCCAGAATGTTATCTTTTGTTACGATCTTGTTGGATTAGAAAATAACAAATGAAGACCTGAAGAGAAAAGTGCATGGGCAACTTTTTTGGTTCATGTAATAACCCATGTGTACCCGATAGATATATAGAGCTAGACTAAAATTATGTTGAGAAACATAGAATTTAGGTTTGGAAAGCTGAAATTCATTTTAATAAGGGCAAAGTTGAGTTATTCCTCCATTATCATTGGGTTATAGGTTATGAATTGAACAGGAAAATATTGTCAAAGAGGAGAGCAAATGTTTTGTGCTTTCTGGTTTTTTATTCGTTTCCTCTAAGAAATTAAACTTTCCAGGCATACTCTTTTGTACTCAAAAGCAGTGAGTGATTAAGTACTGTCTCGAACTTCTGAGTTTCTTGTCTAATAGCAGCTGAAATGAAAACATATTTAAAGGAAATAAGAGGGACACTGATGAATTAAACTGATAACTGGAAAGATGGGATTCTAGTGGAATTTGACTTTGTAACCCTGGTCACTATTGCTTTAATCTTGTGCAGAACTGTAGTGTTTTGCCTCTAGGGTACCTTGTGTTTCTTCTGTCCAAGGTAGTTTAAAGTCCTCATATTGGTTTAGGGCCATTGTTTGCATTTCTATGAAGCATGGAATGTTTTGTGAAGTCACAATGGCATTAATAAATATTGTTAAAATTAACTGAGGTTAGGAGACTTTATTTCCTTCCATGGGAAATACCTGTTCCTGTCCTTCCAAAACTTTGGAATAGGTTCATCATGTGGTTGGGAAGTGTCCCGTCCCCCTGATAGAGTCTGACACCCTTTCTGGTGATGAAAGCATTTGATGAACAGAATCTCTGTGTATGAAGGAGGTAAATTTAAATTTTGTCTTTAGCATCTCATAACTGGGGTTTGAGTTAATACCCCCAGCTTGAGTAATGTTGTATGGTCAGTTAGTATACATGTAGGGAAGAAGTGTTTCAGTAGTTGTAGGTACTTTATTTTTCAATAAGAGTCTTTTTAGCCAGCAGTTAGCTACTTAAGATCTAATATTAGTGTCCCCCAAACCCCCTGAAAAAATCGTGGCATAAGTTACATGAATAATTCTAGAGAGTTAAGCTGAGTCCCTATTGTGATGGGTTGGTTGATCTGTACTTGCCCCCCGTCCTCCCTTGCTTTAGGCCTCTCTGTGACTTTTATCAAATTAGCAGTAGTGTTCTGATCAGAACTGTGTAGTCAGAACACTGATTAACGATCTTCAGGGCACCTGAGCATCTTCAGTACCCTTGTCTGAAAGAAAGTGTTGACTGCTGTACTTTCATCCTTTATGAATTCTTTAAAAGCATCTATTATTTTTAATTTGCAGCAGCTCTTGCCAGGTAAAAAGTTTTGGGAAACAGATGAATCCAGCAAAGATGGACCAAAAGGAATATTCCTGGGTGATCAATGGCGAGACAATGCCTGGGGAACATCAGGTAATCTAGATCTAGCATCTGTACTGTGATTTATGCCTGTCTTAGAGCTCCTTTCCTCAGCAGTTGGCAAGTCATGAATTTTACATCAGTGACATAAGCATGTCAAGCAATGTCCTGTCCTGTAGTATAATTGCCGTGAAGGAGCTTATATGATGTAATTTATTAAAACATAATTAACACAAAGTTAAGTCTTCAATATTTTACTGCAGTGCCAGCCACAGGAGAATGGCCTTATTTGAAATGACCATAATTTCAGCTTTAACTTCTTATTCTGTACTGCTGTCAGCATACTTAGATTTAGAAAATCCCTGCCTTCCATTTGAAGTTCGTGTTTCTTTTTCTTCCCTTTGCCCCTGTGTACTGTGTATGGGATGATCTTTCTACAAATGTGGTTGAGGCCAAATCAAATCACTGGGCATGGATGCTTTTCTGACACACTACCCCTGAAGAGAGATGGGGAGATTTGTAGAGGCAGATACAATGACAGCAGAAAGAAGTGACAAATGATAGGGAGGAAAGAGTGAGAGAAAATCCAAAAGCTGTTGTGCTGTGTTACAGCACAGTGTAAGAATGGAGCCTCAGAAGACTGAGTCAATGAGTGTGAAAAGGTCAAATTATGTTGTTTTTAAAAAGGGCAGTAAAATCACATTTTGCTTTAGTAATATTAATAATAAAATTTATTTAAAAGAATTTCTGCTATTGAAAAGGGTAAACATTAATTTATTCATTTAGCTAGATAAATGAGTTATGTGACCTGTTTTGCTCTGTTATCCTGGATATTTGAGGGGTGTGTTCCTGTTCCTTAGCTTATGTAGAATACTATATTTAAGGAAAAATATGATAGGAGATTTTGGCTCAACTGACCATGGCAGGTTTCCTGATTCTCAGTCATTGGTTTATCCATGAGACATCACTCATAATTTGTTTGAGCCTCTGGCTGCACTATATCATGCTTGTGTATCTTTTTTGTAGATCATTCAGTTTCCCAGCCAATCATGGTGCAGAGAAGACCTGGTCAGAGTTTCCATGTGAACAGTGAGGTCAATTCTGTACTGTCCCCACGGTCGGAGAGTGGGGGACTAGGCGTTAGCATGGTGGAGTATGTGTTGAGCTCATCCCCGGGAGATTCCTGTCTAAGAAAAGGAGGATTTGTAAGTTGGCTTGAGGAACTTGTTCCTATCTCTCTCTCTTTTATCCCCCTCAAAGCAAAACGTGTGTTTAGTTTCCTTAGCTATTTATAGCAGTAATTATAGGGTATTTAAAAAACACTTTTATTGCAGTTAGATCAGCAAACGCAGTAGGAGATGTAAACTAAACTTTTTAAAAGTAGAGAAATGATGTTTTTTTTGAGACACATTGATAGTAATGTAAGGTATAAGAACTGAAATCTAGATCATCAGTCTACCAGAAAACACCATTTTTAGTTTAACACCAAAAGAAAAAAAAAACTAAAAAGAAAAGGAAATTTTTTTTTTAAATAGGAAAACTGAAGCTGGGGTGTCAATAGGGAATAGTGCTGAGAGCAGTGATTTGCCAATACCCGAGAATCCTTAAGATGGACCATATGTAGGATTGATCATTCTTGTTTTGCTAGCTAGGCTTTAATTATGGGATGATCTCTGACTCTCTTTGAATAGCTTTGCCTCTCACACCCAGCCTATTAGGAAAGTAGAAGTTTTGTTAATTCTGTATCTGCAGTTTTTTTCAGATTCATCACCATTGACCTTTGTTAATGCTAAGTTGTAGCCAGAGCAGCTTCTCTGTCTACAGCCTCTTCCCTTTTAAATTTTAAGCAGTCTTCCTCAAGCATCTTTGATACCTTTCTCAAAACCACTTCTATCTTGATCCCCAACTTTGTAGATCTAGAAACCTTGAGATGTAATTCTATTTGAGTCTTCTTGTGATGTATTCTGTGACTGGTTTTATATTTCAGGTCACAGCTAGGAAGGCCACGAGAGACTCCCTATATCTGTTTTCCCTCCTTCTACCAATTTAATTTGTTTTGTACCTTTTCAAAGCCCTTTCTCCCTGAAGTCTTTTTGGGCTAATATACTACTTGTTGGCTATCATTTAAGAGACCTTCTTTCTCTCAGATCATATTAATAATTTGCCTCCACAACTTTTATTTATTTGTAGCATTTGTTGTCAACATTTTTATTGTTGTACATTTGTTGCCAAGTATCAGAGGCTTGGCCTCCCCGTTCCATTTGAAATTTCTTAAGAGTAACAGTTCATTTTTGTGCAGCTTCCTCAAGTGTCAGGTACAATTTTTTAATATGTTAGTGGACATTAAATGAATGATTGTTGACTTGGTTGGCATGAAGTGAACGGGTGGCATGCCAGAATCCACGTAGAGTTAACTTTAGGAATGTCAAAGATGATACTTTAGCTGACATTGACACTTGACACATGAACTGGAGCTTTTAATTCCACAGAAAAACCAGGGAAAAAAAAGAAGCAAAATGAACTTCTTTAATTTAACACTGGTTTGGATTTCTCATGGCTCTGCACCTAGAAGTTTGGTATGAAGAATTTAGCCAGAAGAGGATCTTTTATTTTGACAATAACCTTTAGGAAGATCAAGGGACTAAACTGAGGCTTTTGTCTTGAGTTTTGAGTACTAGCCATTCCAAAGCTGACCTGTTTGCTTCTGGGTCTTTTGACCCTGCCTGCACAAGACATAGGTCAGGTTTAGTGGCTTGTGGATCAGATAGGAAAAGGCTTCTTTGATTTGAACCTTCCCAAGGGGCTGCTTGGGAAGAACAAGATCTACCCTTTGAATGTGAGGAATGGAATCAGGCAAATAGGATCATTTGCCTACTGTTCACTGGGAAGAATGGTGTTATTTCTTTTCTTTCACTTTATCCCCATCTCACCTCTTTTTCTGTCCTCATACCTTTCTTATCTCATGAGTGTAGATTCCTCAGAGGAAGTGCTGCCTTCTAATTTCTGCCTATAACTTTTAGTTATTAGTTATTTACTATGGGAGAAAAGTTAGTATCATGCATACATAAGTTGTTAATTTGGAGAACTGGAACCTGTATGACTTTTGCCATGAATTCTCTATCATGTGTGTGACTACTTTGTAATTCTTGGGCATTAGCCAGGAGGCCTGTGCCTGAGTTACTGTGAAGTTTGTAGAGGCAGAAAAATAATTGGAGTTCAGAGAAAGGTAAAATGCTGAGACTGAATTATTACTTTTACTGCCCGTTTTTCATTAGTTAACCATATGACAAAACTGTATTTTTTGCATTCAGTGTCTCGTATTCATTTTTATAAAGGTGGCTTCCATCTTTAGTTGTCCTGGGAGGCTAGTGACTTTTAGCTCTGTTACTGTAATGTCTCCAAATATGTGTTCCAACCTTTTCTCAGAAAGAAGGTTGTGGGGAATGAACTATTACTCCATTTTTTGACTTGAGTTGCATCTGAAGGGTGATACAGCAGGATTGATTAGTGACACCAAGCTGCTACATTGGCATATCCAGTCTTTTGGTAGATGGAGGTCTGTGTATCAGTGAATTACTTTATCAACTTTCTGGTTGTATCCTGCTTATCTTACACCTAACCTGGCTTTGCTCTACCTGTTGGTTAGGATGACATTTGACCAAAGCTCTGGTCATGCAAACATGAATCATTTTTTTGTTGTCATGGTATGCATGCATCTTCTTGGAAAAGGTGAGCCTTTTTTAAAAAAAATCTGGTCTGTCATTTGAAATGCTGAGTTCTAAGGCTAAGGAAGATAGAATATCAGCTTCTTGTAAGTAGTGTTCTAAAGAGTGGTAATTGGTGGTGTATGGGTCAGAACACTTTTTGGGTGGCTATACCAACATTACCTCCAGGCCATGAAGAAACTCCACATTAATCCCCTGAGAGCTGAAAACATCATTTCTGATAGCATTATGAATGGAAACCTCAATGCAAGTACTGAGGGGCCATTCTCAGATACTGACAACAGATAATTCAGACTGACTAATTTTTCAGTTAAAGGCGGTAAAATAATTTACTCATTCTACAGTAGTTTTCCATTTTCAGAAAGATTGTTTCCTGGTTCCTGAGCTTTTGTAAGTTCATTTTGATTGTATAAATGGACTCAGTTTAGTAGCTTTGGCCTCTGTGGTAAGAGTACTTTCAGGCTGCAGTAAGAATCTCACAGCAGTGTTTTATCGTTAGCACCCACTATAAATTTTTGGTAGTGTTCCACATCTGAATCAGAAACTTTAGGGGACTGGTTTCAGAATAATAGGAAAACTCAGAATACCAGTTAAGTGAGAGTCAAGTCTTTTATTTTGATTTTCTTTTTGTATCCTTTATTTACTCCAGAAATAAGAGTCCCATCCTGTCCCCATTCCACATGTCCCCCCATCCCAAAAAGTGCATAGTTCAGAGTGGCTACACAATCACATGTAGCTACTGTATTTTGTGGCCTAAATGTTCTAAAGAGTTTGAACAAGATGTTTAGAACAGAGAAATAGATTAGAATTTCTATCCTGGTTTATGATGCCTTGGGAAATGAGAAGACCACTGTCAACTTCGATTTGCGTGAAGACCACCCAAACCTTGCAGAAGAAAAATACATAGAAAAAATATCTTGGGAAGGCTTTTCTACTTGTCTTACTGGTAAATGGGCTGCTTTCTGACCTGGAGGATGCACGCACACTCATCAGTTCATTTTGGTCTGATTTGTTTTTCTAGTCTTCACTTTGTTTTAGATTAGCTAGTGCTGCTGTAATTGACTTCGTTTAAAAACTTTGTGTAGTGTAGTACAGATTGAAGTCAGTGGTTTGAGTCTCATCTGCAAAATGGGGATAATTAAAAACCCACAAAGTCTAATTCATGTGGCTGTGCAATATATATGAAAATGCTTTGTAAAACTTACAAAATCTTATTCCACAAAGTCCATGGGCCAATAGCATTATCATCATCTGGGAGCTTATTAGAAAGGCAGAATCTCAGACCCTACCCCAGACATACTAAAATCTGCATTTTGACAAGACCCTGAGGTGATCTGTATGCACATTAAAGTTATGCTGTAAGATAATTTGCTTGGAAGATTAAGTTACCTAGTTTGAGGCTATGGATCAAATTCAGAAATTTTTTCTACAGGGTGGAGCTTCAAATTTTAGTTTCCCTTAAACAAGAAATATACTTGCTATACTTTGCAGTCAGCTTTTAGACACTGACTAGATAAAAAGTTAAAGCCCTCACAACTTCTAGGAAGCTTTTTTTTGGCAAGGGGGATGCCCATCTTTGTAATGACAATAAATATCATCCTATATGTTTCAAATATGATTTTTTTTTTCCTGGATCTGGTTAGGCCAGCAGAGAGGAACCCTTACCCTTCTGCTCACCAGGAATTGGGTGAACTGTACGCACACTGCCTGCTGTATTCTGTGTTCTACTTCTAAAGAGCATACCTCCCCACTTTGTTTTGAAATGGGAATGCATCTTGAGATTGAGATGATAGTCGTAGTTTAATGGTCAGTTGTTCCTTATAACAGCACATAAAATGATAGTATGTCTTAAAAATGTCTTATAAATCGTGTCTCAGATTTGATAAAATGTGGTAGTTGGTAAGTGGGACAAAGGGTCTAGTGATTTGACCCGTAATAGTCCCCCCTCTGGGGGAAAAACACAAGATGTCTAGCAATTTTGAAGCTTTGTGGTAGTGAGGGTGGATATGTCTAAAAAAGGCTTTGGGAAAAAATGTGAAAATTTGATAAAGTCCTTTTAAGAGTTTAAAAAAAAACTGTACTTTTCATGAATTGCTTTATTTCATCCTTGAAACAACCCTTTGAGGTAGATACTATTGTTGCTATGAATCTATAGATGAGAAAAATGAGGCTTAGTAGGGAAGTGGTGAGTCCTGGATTCAAACTTTATTCTAATTTCAGTTCTTAGCTATACTGCTTTCTATTCTGCTCTGCTGGCTTGTTTTATTAGTTCAGTTCTTACAATAGGATCATATTTAATATGTTAATTTAAGAGTGTAATTCACATGGCTAGTAATCTAAACTTCTCATTTTATTAATATTTAAATTTTTTTATTACTAATAAAGCTGCTGAACTTTAAAAAATTGACATTTTGTGTTTTGGCGTTTTGTGGAAAACACAGCTACACAGTAGAAAACACCATTTTAGTTAATGTTATGGTTTCTGTACTCAGTATTCTAAGTACATATGCAAAACATTATTTTTTAGAAAGAAGGAAGGAAAATGGCTCTCTCATTGAATGTGACTTCTGCTGTGTGAAGCTTTGTGGTAAGATCACTGCAGTAAGAGGAGGAATTAAACTCTCATTTCTCTGATTTCATTCAGAATTAATAGTCTCTAAAATATGCCTCCTGTTATGTGAGGCTTTTGAGGAAGCTGAGCCATTAATGGGTGGACTCTAATCTCCACAATATATGGTTCTTCTGTCTGCTTCTTGCAGTTCTTTCATGTCTAGCAGCAGAACACATTCCTCTGCTTCTGTAGATGTGGGAACTCTCAGAACGCTTCCTGACCTCACTCTTGAGTTTTGATTGGTTTGGCCACTTGCATTTTGAGCCTTCTGTGAAGCCTATATTTGAGTACTATAGGTTTCGGTTAACATTTGTCTAAAGGAGGCCCACAGTAAAAAGATGCTATCAATCCTTCTTTGTTTTTTCTTTCATTTAGCCAATAGACTTTGTTCTATTATGTACTAGGTAATACGTAACAAAAAAGCAAACATAAACCCTGCCTTTACAATGCTTATATTGGACTTAATTACAGTGGTTCTCAACTGAGAGTTCTTACTGAAGTTAACCAAAGGAAGAAGCTTTTTATAATACTTGTGGGAGCTTCTACAGGCCAGTTAAATCAGAATCTCTTGGAGAGACCTCAGACACTTGTAAATTTTAAAAAGATTGTAATGCTCAACACTAGCCAAGAGTTGCTTCAGTGTGAAAATGACAGTGTCCCTGGGAGAGCCAGATTGGCTATATACTTACAGTAGAGTTTAACTACCTAATGGGGCATGTAAGGTTTTTACTCTTGATGTCATAATGTTACATAAGAAATACCATCCCTGTAGATAGCTTTTATTAATAATCATACTACATTTATATAAAATATTTTATACTTTAAAAACCTTTTACATGTACATCATTTCATAACTGCTCTGTTTTAAGCAAAATTATCCCTCTTTTATAGATGAGAAAACTAAGACTCAGGTTTAATTACCTGTCCAAAGTCCTATGACCAGTGTGTTAGCACTTGAGATAGAATGTAGGTTCTGTGCAATCTAGGTTAGTACCTAAAGACTATATAGCTATGAATGAATACCTTATCTTAAATATAAAAAATATTAAAAACCCATTTATGCCCCTATTCTTCTCTCTAGGTTTCTTCACATTTCTAAGAGACCATTTTTATGATCCAGAACCCTATTTCTCTTTAGGTTTTTGATGGAATCGGTTCCCACTTGTGCTCTTGATGTCATTCAGAAATCACACTTCATGTCAACAATTCTTATTTAGGGCTGTTGTTGACTTACTGAACTTCTTTTTCTTAAATAAATTTTTTGTTGAAATATGACCTGTAACAAAAAAGTATACAAGTCACAAACGTTCATCTTTATGAATTTCTGCAAAGTGAATACACCCATGCAACCATCCAGATCACAAAATGGAATCCTCCCTTGGGTCCCTGACCTTTGAGTGGAAGAAATTTACTCTTCTGCTGAGGCATTAATAGTTTATTCAGAGTAGAAAACCCGGTATAGAAAACCAGATGGCTATATTATGGACTGTACAGTTTGGTCAAAAATAGCACATCACAGGCATACCTTTGAAAATCAAGCCTGTAGCAGTATAACTGAGAATGCAAGTTATCAGTGGCTATATTTTCAGGCCAGAACAGTTGGCTTAGGCACAGGCTGAGCAGCCTCTCAGCAAGCCCTTGTAAAGGGTCACTGAGGAAAGATAATGCAGATTGTTGATTGGGCTAGTGAGTGTCCCCATCACCAGATTTCTTGCTTGTTGGTGAAATTTCTTACTGCTTCTTTATCCCATTTTCTTCCTATTTTTGCCTGCAGACCTTTTGGACTCCTTATGAGAAACTGAAGCTGAATTGTTTCTCCTGAGCAAGTAACTTGCTTTGTATGTTTATAGAAGATACTTGGGGGTGTTAGTGTGTGGGATTATTATTTTAATGCTTATTTTTATTGACATTAATGGTGTCGGATAAAGGCAGAGTTTTTGTTATCTAGATCATATCACCATCTCCTGGGCTCTTTTCTGATGATAAGACACTGGGAAGATCCTTCTTATTTTAGCATTACAATTCTGCGCAATTTTTTTGGTCATTTCAGTTTTCTTTGTCATGTTTTTTTGAACTTCTGCCAGGCATTGTATTCAGTGCTGGGGATGTGAAAATGAATACACAGTTTCTGTCATTTTATCTTTGCAGTAGTAGGGAACTGTTGTCTCTGGACATTTTGAAAGATCTTCCTGTCTTTTGTGTTCCTGTTTTTGCTTTGGGATTTCAATGTGGTGCTTAATTGGCGATCATTCACTCCTTTTGAACCAATAACAATACTTTGAAGATTCTGCTGTGGAAGTCACATCTCAATGGCTGCCAAAACTGTAGTGTACCACCTGATGCCACATGAAACTAAGCTGTGTTTCTTCCTAAGTTCCTTCTTAGGTGTGTTTCTTTGTCAATATTAGCCATGAAGTCTTTCTTTTTTCTGTGTCTCATTTGAACAGGGACTGATTTTGAAAGTAAAAAGGGCACTGGACTGGTAGTTGAAAGGTCTAAGAATGTCAAGGCACATGAGTCACCCTTTCTGGACCAGAGGTCTCTGAGAACTACTCTTGAGAGCATGTGTTGATTTTGTCTACTCATTCACAACCGAGTGCTGCTCCAGGCTCCATTATTGATATTCCCCCAAAGAAATTTGATTATGGTGACTGGACATGCTGTGCAGCAGCTGTCTTCTTTTTCTGATTGGGTCTTGCCTTTTACCAAGGGCTTTGATTTGGTCGGATGTATTTGTGTTGTCCTTAAACTAGAAGTCAGTGGTGGGGACAGGCAAGATGGCCTCTCTCTAGTTTTACAAAAGCAAAGGTTACTTATTCCTTGGTGAGATTCTTCAAAGCTGTCTGTGCTGTGCCAAGCACTAGTTCCAAATTTTTTCCTTTTGAAAATCCTGGCACATTTGCTTTTATATGTCCAGATTAATTTAGGATGTTGGTAAGAGGAGACAGACTTAATTTCCTTAAAAGCAGTACATCAGTGTGCTTGGCACCACGTCAGTTCTTTTAGGTCTAGTCTTTGAACTTTTGTAGTCTGATACACTTCGGACATAAATTCTGTTGCATCAGTGATTCAATTTAACATGCTTTCAAATAGTCTCCAGATAATCTGGTATTCCACGTAGACAGTGAAAGACAACAGACAAACACAGAGTATTCTTGGTGAAAGAATTTCACAATTAGATTTAACATGTTCGAAAATTTTTAAAAATTAAAGTTAAGGATGATGGGTGAGTTATTGATGCAGTAAGCTGTGAGACATAGGGTGGAACTGCAGCAGGGTAGTGGTGGTGATGATACAAGTTGGTAGGGCATATATACCAAGACAGACTTTAGAATAATTGAACTGGAAAATGACGTCAAACCACACTTAGCTCAATATTTGGAAGTAAAGGAGGAGTTTATATAGGCAATGATGAAGTAGGAAATTCTTATTCTTAGGCTTAACACCATCTGTACTATTGGCTGCCATACCTGGGGCTTAGGAGTCATGCTGTTATATAAACTTAGATTTGAGAATAGACAAGTGGGACCAAGAGATAGAAAGAAGTGACTGGGCTTTGGGTAGAAAGGAAAAAATAGGGTGGTGGGACATTGGGCATGGTAAGACTGTCCTAAATTCTGTAACATAAATGTATGTCTGTCTCCCCCATTTGGCAAGACTTTCTGCAGTGTTCCTGCCTCTGTGTTGTCTGTTAATTAGATTGTAATGTCTTGAAAGGGCACAGACACTATCCTGTTTTAATTAGTGTCCAGTGTAGTCTGGTGTCCACAGTGGTTGCCCACTATTATTAGTTGATGATTAGTGAAGCTGAAGCTATTTTTTAAACAGGGCCCAAGGGATGCAGACAGTGATGAAAACGACAAAGGTGAAAAGAAGAACAAGGGTACGTTTGATGGAGATAAGCTAGGAGATTTGAAGGAGGAGGGTGATGTGATGGACAAGACCAATGGTTTACCAGTGCAGAATGGGATTGACGCAGACGTCAAAGATTTTAGGTTTGTATGTTTTACACTTCTGATTTTTGAATGGGGACTATGGGTTTTTGTTGTGATTTAGTTTTGTTGATTTTTAGTTCATATGTGTCCTTTTTAAGAATTGGGTCTAGTGTAGGCCATACCACAATGATTGTAAATTAACTGGTAAGGTGGACTTTTCTAAGAGCTGTCAGTGCCTGTTGCTTTGCCAAAACAATAGATATTACATTTGTGTAGTGCTCTATAATTTGAAGAATCATTCTATAAAGACCATTTCAGTGATTCTCACATATCAGAATCACCTGAGTGCTATGGGACTTTTCTCAAGTTTCTTCCAAGTCACTATTTGGGGAGAAAACATGGCCACTGATGGAAGTGTGCATATTTTCCTGGCATGGTGGAATAGAGGGAAAAACAGTTGAGAACAGATGTATTATTTCATTTGAGACTCATAAATTCCCTTTGGGGCAGGTGGGTCAGGTATCATTACTCATTTTGAAGAATCAGAGATGCAGTTTAAATTACTTTTTAATTATATCCTTTCCATGGATGCCTCTTATTTCATCTCTGGTCATGACTGATTTTCAGGTTTTACCCTGTATTTTAAACAACACTGTATTAAGATGATATTATATATTTGTCTTCCACATTTGGCAAGTACTCTTCATTTATATAGGTAACCTTCAATGATGGTATATAACTTTAAAACCCAAAAATCCTTGGTCAGTAACTACAGGTAGACAGTTTAATTTTGAATAATTTTAATGTTACTCTAAAGCTAATATGTATATGTTGGTAAACACACACACACACACACACACACACACACACACACACACACACACCCTTTATCCTAATATCTACCAAAGCCAAAATTAAAATGTATTTTGACTTACCATTTGTAGAATAACATTCAGTTATTCAGTATTCCTTAATCTAATTTTTGTTTCTTGTGAGTATAAAGAATTACTGTCTTTGGAGGAAATTTGAGGCACAAGTAATAAAACATTTACCTAAGGTCTTTCAAATGAATTTTGGTAGCCTCCCCATTCCGGAATCTCAAGTAGTCCAGCAGTGTTGTGTGGTGTTAGACTTTGGGGCAGGTGGTGGTGGTAGGTGTGTGTGTGTGTACGTCCACAACAATAGCTTTTATTTGTATCAGCTGTAGGATTCTATATAGTGCTGCAGTCCTTTTATATAGGGTCATTATATAAGCTATGTTACTGTGTACCATGTGTTCTGGGTTACCAAGGACAGTACTCATTTTATATCTCTGTCCCAGAAAATTTATTAGTAGTGCCCTTTTTTGCTCTTATGAGTATCCTGGTTTGGATGATAAATTTTATTCTCAAGTTTTAATTCTTAGAGTTATACTATTTCGTAATTGCCTGCTTCTGGTTTCCTAGAGGAGAAAGAGGGTACAATTTTAACAATTGAACAGTAGTACCCAGATAATACATAACATTTTTTTTTAATAGAATCATTCTCAGATGCAGAATTTTCCCTTAGAAACTACTTTTTCCTTTGGCTCTATGTTTAACAAGTACATGTTGCTTTTTGGGGGCATATTTTACTGTCTGCATTTTGGGATCTCTGTTTTCATGGACCCATAGGCAGTCATTTTTCTAGTTCATCCAGTGTTCCTCAAATCTGGGCCCTTTCATTAATGGGATTGTAAACGAATAGCAGCTAATGTAAGTTTAAGAGGTGGGTTGTGGTGGGAAGGCGAGCAATAGAAGAGTCATTTTATAGGATATAACATGTAAACACAATAAAGGGTATCTGGTGGTTTTGTAAGAAATAGTTTTAAGTACTATTGATAATAAGCTATGTCAAGGACATTGTCCTTAAACTTAGGTTGCTGTAGTGTCCCTCCCCACTCAAAATAAGGTTTAATGCCCTTTACTTTCTCTGTTTAGCCGTACCCCTGGTAATTGCCAGAACTCTGCTAATGAAGTGGATCTTCTGGGTCCAAACCAGAATGGTTCTGAGGGCTTAGCCCAGCTGACCAGCACCAATGGTGCCAAGCCTGTGGAGGATTTCTCCAACATGGAGTCCCAGAGTGTCCCCTTGGACCCCATGGAACATGTGGGCATGGAGCCTCTTCAGTTTGATTATTCAGGCACGCAGGTACCTGTGGACTCAGCAGCAGCAACTGTGGGACTTTTTGACTACAATTCTCAACAACAGGTACTGTGTGTGTCTCTGTCACTCTCTCTACTCTCCCTCCAGCCAGTGCATTATTCAAGTAACTAAGAATGGGGGAATGGGAGGAGGGTGGCATTATTTTAGGCTATTGATAGCCAGCCCTTCTTAACCCAACAGTGGTGTGGGGTTACAGAGCCTCTATGTCATCCCCTCAAGAAGCTGATTCCCAGCTAAGGTTATTGGCAAGAGACCACTCTGTTCTACGTGTACTTCTCTGGCTCCTCTCTTGCCCCAGGACCTGGGGAGTGGGTGAGGTGGTACCTCTCGGTACATAGTCCTCTTTGATGCTGAGTTAGTCTTGCTGAAGATTAATGTACTTGCAGTGCTATTGGTTTGTCTTTAAAATAGTAAACTCCCTGATATCTGCCACTCTCAGGAGTCCAGTGCTAGGTTGCCTTATTAGTCATGTCTTTTAGTTGAGTTAATATAGATAACAAACATACCTGTGATTGGGGGAAAAAAAACATTTCACATAAAATCTACAGTGAAATTACTTGGCTTTTCTTTTATTCTAAATCCCTGGAAAACATTGTGTGTGTGCCTCCTGGTTTTGAAGGCATGGTATGGCTGCCTTCAGGGATTACGGATCCTTCTGTTGAGTTTTTTTTCTTTAAGTGAAAAATCAGCTGTCTGGTGGCTTCCCGGTCTCTTTGAGTCCAACAAGTTCTTTCTTGTAGCTGGAAGCAGTTTAATGGGCCATGAATTTCTGATACTCATTAATTTTGGAGTGGAACATAAATATCAACTTCAAGGTTTGGAAGGTTAAAATCTCATTTTGAAGTTCAGAAATTACATATAGGGCAAAATGGGCTTATGGTCTTTGGAGATGAGTTGTACCATGCTGTCCCTTTAGTTGTTATAAAAGCTGATATTAAAGGCATCTCGACTGATGGACATCTGGATAATAAAGTTATCCAGAAAGATTGGAGGTATAAGATACCAATTTCCAGTAGAAAAAGGATCTTTCCTTTTTAACAACTCCTGGGATTCTATGCAGGAGCCTTTGGGAGGTTAAGTCTATACTTAAGAGTATGAAGTTTACAAAAAGGAATCCCATTAAGGAGTGATGAGATGTGCATACTCTGTGGCCATATCAAATGGACGGATATATACAGTTTAATTAATAAACTCTTTTTCCTTTTTCCAGAGAGAGTTAAACTGAAAGTGTACATTCTTCTTCTCCCTGTAGTTCCCGATAGATAATGCCCACTTCTCCATAAGAATTGACTGTGTGTGCTTTTTCTCTTCTTTATGAGAGACAGTGTTCTTTATGAGAGACAGTGTTCTTTCACCATTTAGTCCCTATTTACAATGAATCCTCAAAATGACAGTGAAGCCAGAAAGTACTTCGGATGCTGAAGATGTGTTAGACTTGAAAATATTTTATGCCGCATCAGGAAATATAGGGACATGCTGTTACTATATAGACTTCAGTGTGTCCAGCTTAAAATATTAATGGCTAGTTTCTCTATCTAAATTAAGGTTTGTGAGCATAGGCTGTTTCAAATCAGGATCCTCTAACCTAGTTATATCAAGAAGTTTTATCTGAATTTTTTCATTTACTTTGTGTCTTTGGTCTGAACTTACCTAGCAACCCTTTGCACTCTGGCCTTTTCTGGTTCTTAGCTTCCATTCCCAGTCCAACCCAGTCTAACTCTTTGCTTTTCCTTTGAGAAGTGTTTATCTCCAACCTCTTAAGAATGAAAATCTAATTCTCTTTCAGTTGTTCTTTACTTCATATTCAGAGTTGGAATTCTTTTTTTTTTTGATTTGTTGATCTGTTGTTTAAAATAATTTTACCATTTTTTTTGAAGGCTGAATAATTATTATAACTTGAACAGAGATGTACTTTTGCATATCCACAGTAGTTAACATGATTACATCAAAAACATTACCCACTCAGATGTATAAAACCAGGGTGTCTTCACCAGTTTCAAAACCTTCTCAACAGTTTTGAAAGTGAACATTATTATTTTGAAACTAAAACTGTTATTGGGTCTGGCTTCCCATATATGGCTTGCAACATATGGGCATTGTTAACACACATATATCAACAAATATGATACTATCTTTTTTTTTCACCTATGGGCCCTTAATTCTTGTTTTTCTGAGTAGATTGTTTTACACATTCTTGTACTGGGTGCCCTAAAAACATGCCTAGGTATCACTGACCCAGGACGCTCCTTCATGGAATCCCAGGAGTTGTTAAAAAGGAAGGATCCTTTTTCTACTGGAAATTGGTATTTTATATCTCCAATCTTTCTTAGCCTTTTGCTTTTCATCACACATTATTCCCATTCCATTTCTGCTAATTTAAATCATTCTCATTCTTCAGGGTCTAGTGCTGTTACCTTTCTTGCTCTCCCAATCAGAAAGTTGTACTCTCTTCTTTGAACTCTGTAGTGCTTTGCAGTTCCCTTGAGAAAAGGTGTCGCCATGGTCTCCCTTGCGTTACGATTACTTGGCTAGGCCTAGGGTAAGGCCTAGGTCTTGTCCTCTCTGTGTCTTTTGCTTTGCTTTAGCAGACGAAGTTTTCAGGAAACCTTTTTCATATCCCTTGTATAATGCCACAGAATATTCTCCATATTTAATATACTTCCTAAAACTAAAATTTGAAACTAGCTGTCTAAGAAAACTGGAGGTTATTCTTTGAGGCCCAGCATGCATATGCAAGTCCTTTAGATGTAGCTCACTAGCTTGTGCTTCATATACGAATAACTAAATCTACATAATAAGACAGGAAAGTTACCTCCTGGATCAGCATTTGACCACTTTAGGGTCACAGCCCTCTGTTGCCATCTGATCAAAAGCCATGGTCCTCTCATCAGAAAAATGTACGTAATTCTTTTGATGCCCAATTTTGTGGATAACTAGGGAGGTCATTCATCTGTGGGCTTTGGATTATAACGTTCTGTTTGCATTCTTCTTACCTGCAGCCAAGCATATCTTTCATGAATGGAGTGGGCTCTCATGGCTCTCCATTTAGTTATTGTGACTCCTTTGCTTGTTTAAATAGCGCAAAGAAGTACTCAGTGACATGATGAGACCATAATGCCTATGTTCTAGGAATCTTAGCCAAGGGAGAGCATATTCTGCTCTCTTGAATTGGAAGGATTTACAGGAGGGGTAGATTTTGAGCTGTACCTTGCAAGACTTGTTTATACCAGGAAAAGAATGAAAATTCCAGTGGAGGAAATAGTAAAGGTAAAGGCTTAAAATTGGAAGTCAGCAGGTATGTGTGTTAAGTAGATATATGTAAAAGCAGTTATCCTAGGTGGTAGTTGAGGTTGAAAAAAAGTGACTTGTGAGGTTGCATAGATAGTGTTGTACGTCTTTACCCATTTACTTTGATGCCTTAGAGCAATAACAAGACATTTTTTGGAAGGAATGACTTAATTATTACTGCTTAGTATTTTGTGCTGAGTGTTAATATAGTAGCGGTTTAGTAGACATTCTTTTACCCATATTAGTCAGTTATCTGTTGACTTGTGTGGCTTTCCAGGAACCCAGGTTCTTCCCATAGTGAACAGAGCTACTATTCATAGTAAGGCTGTCATACATGAAACAGTTGTGGGACAGTTGAGGAACTAAGTGCTAAATTGGTTGGTCTGGAATGCTGTCAGACCAGGGGAGGGCTTGATGAGGACCAGAATTGCATAGGCCTAACTTGACAGACAGGTGGAGGATATATTGCTGCAGTTCAGAACATAGGTATGGAGATGGAGATGACCATAGTGTGGTCATAGGCTGACAAGAGTAGAAGATACATGTGAAAGGGGAAAAGGAGATACGTGCACTTGGTTATTAAGTCCAGGTCACAGAGGCCTGGAGAGGTAGGCTGAGTCCCAGACAATATTAATGATTGTGAGGATTGAACTAGACATCTAGGGTGGTACATACATATTTTTTCTGTACATTTTTCTCTTTTATCTTGGCTTTCTTAAATGGGCATCAAAGGCTATCTTTCTTTTTTTAGTTTTGAATTACTTGCTACAATTGGTAGGTAGCTTTATTAGTGATTTTATAAGGGACTCTGATTTAGAAATTGACAGGGAATAAATTCCTTCTTGTGTCTTATTTCCTTTTAATCAGGACTTTGATTTGGAATGATCTGTTGGTTTCATAAAACTGTTAATACCAGCTTAAACTGAGATATGTACAGCAGTCTGAAAAGAAAGGGTAATTTTCATTTAGTTCATTACAAACTTAATGGTACTTAGGGATACTTTAGGTTTTGGATAGTTAAGTTACTTGCCTAGTCACATGATTAACATCATAAACTTAAACTTTCTAAGGTCTATTTTGAGCAGGGATTCCTCTTTTTGTGCCGTGAACCCCTTTGCAATTAGGTGAGATCTGTGGACTGAATTCTCAGAATAATGTTTTAAAATGTGTAGCATAAATAGGATCATAAAGGAAGCCAGTTATATAAAAATAGCTGAACAAATATTTAAAACGAAATTTAATGTATATGCTGTATCATATGCATGAAACAGATTTAGGTGTGTTAACTGTCATAATGAACATAAACAAGATTTTAGATGTCTTATAAAGTAACATGAAAATAATATGTGATTTTTTTATGTGTGTGAATAAGTCACAGATGGTATTACTGATGTTGATGTGTTGTGTTGCCTATAATCATAATTGAAATCCCATGCTAAATTTCACGAAAATCAAGATAATTTTACCTGTCCCAGGTACAAAGATCTGGGGTCAAAACCCCCTAATTTAGGATAGCTTGAAATGCTCATTGTTAACTCTGGAGTATTCTCCCTCTTCCCTCACTTTCCCCTCATTGTCTTTTCCTTAGTCCTGGAAAACACAGTGAATAGATCATAGAGGATGTATTCATACAACTTTTTTGTTATGACATTTGGGCAGTGTTCTTAACTTTAATGCAGCTATATACAACTATCCCTTGTTCCCTAAGCATATTTTAGAAAATTATTACTAGGTTTCATTATATTGTAATCATATGTATCAAAAACCAAAGCCAGGATTATATTGGTTTAGACTAATCAGATTAATTGCTCATCTTCTGCATTTAGAATTCAGTTAATCTAAAAATTGTCTAATGTAGCATGTTTTACAAAAGAGGATAATGATGTACTAAAATGCTTAACTGTTAAGTATGAATTTTAACAGAGACAATATTCTGAAAGGTAAAATGGTCATAGTGTATTCATTTCTTCCCAGCCCAGTCAAATGGCAGAGGAAATTGGCATGCATTGCTTTTAAAAGTGTGGTCGTGCTTAAATTTCGTTATTAGGAGGCCAAGTGTGTGTATAGTTTTAATATAGATATTTAATATTCTTGGCTTTTCAGTGTACAAATGAGGAGGATTATTCTATCA